ATCAAATTAACATAAATTCAGTGTAAATTATAGTCAAATCATGCAAATGGTGCATTTTATAATATGGAATTATTGTGCATTTTCCCATATTCCTATATAGATTAAATACATTATTTTTAAGAAAAAATTGTGCAAAACCTTATTAAAAACATGATTTTTATAGACTAATTATAATAAAATTTTATTATTCAGTAATAAAGCTAACTGCTATGTTTAATGTTTACTTAAATAAATAATAAAATAATATTCAATTATTGTTTATCTATTAATCTTTATAAAAAAAATGTACCATAATTATTTTATTATTTTTATTTTATACAATTATTAAAATAATGAGAAAAATTTGTAAATATTTTTCATTTGACAATTTACTGTATTAGCTAATCAACAAAATCCCAAAACAATTACTAATAAATTTTTATATACTTGTCAGATTTAACTTTTAGACAATCAAACAATTTTATTATTTTATATAATAATAAATACAAAGTATAATTTTACACATGTTAAAAAATTCCCCAAATTTCCCATAAAATTTAGATATTTTCACATATAATAAAATAAAATTTCCCAACTATTTCAATAAACAAAACTTATATAAGGGTTATTATTTTTTTATCTATAAAAAAAATACCAGTTTAACTTTCCATAATCCTATATATTTTAATTATAAAGAATCTACTGCACTAAATTTCTTTATTGGTTCTGCAACTGGCATAACAAGATTAAATGATAATGATTTAATACAAACATGTAACAATTGTAACATGACTATTTTTTATCCAATTGATCCTTCAACAATATGTTATATCCCAAAACTAACAAATGGCCAAGTCTATCAGTAAATAATTGTAAATTTTCATTGGGAAATATTAATCAAATTGATGTAAAATATTTATTTTATTTTTCACGTTTATTTTATTTAATTCATTTTCACTTTTAATTTTATTATCATTATATTATATTTTAATTAGACAAATAATAATTACACATTAAATTATTGACATTACTGACAAGGTGTCCAGGGACGGTCCCGCATTTCTCGATATACTTACTCCATGTGATTACCTATCATATGAAAATCATTTCATTCGTCAAATTTATTACCCAAAGTTCAATCACAGTCATACAAAAATCAAGTAATAAAGTCAAAAAATGATATTCATTGACTCACTCTTTGTATAAAATTCTTTTTATTTTTTAAAAAAAACCTTTTATAAAAAATGTCTCGAAAATTTGTTCAAGAAGTTGTTAACGATTTGGAAAAATTGCTTACAACTGAAAAAGGATATGACGTTATTATCTATGCTGGTGAAAATGAAAATATAAGAGAATTACATGCTCATTCAGATATTTTATGTACAAGGTCACAATATTTTAGTACTGCATTCTCTAATGAATTGGCAGAAAAAAAGGATGGAAAATTTATTTTTAAGAAACCTAACCTTTCAACTCAATTATTTAAAATTATTCTAAGGTAATGTAAGATAGTGATAAATTCTTTAAAAAAATAAGCGTCGTAAAAAATATTTAATACGTATATTTTTAATTATTTAGATTTATTTATTGTGGAAAAATTGATTTGAAGGAGTTACAAGGTCCTGAAGTGTTAAAACTTTTGATTGTGGTAGATGAGTTTAATATTCAATCTTTAATCTCTTATATTCAAAACTATTTGATCAAAAATCAAGATGAATTTTTACAGCAGGATCCTAAAGGAATTCTTGAAGCAGTTTATCAACATGAATCATTAACAGATTTATAGAATAATTGTCTTGAAAAAATTTGTCAAGAACCCAAAATATTGTTTGAATCTGATAAATTTACTAGTTTAAAAGCACCCTTATTAAAATTACTTTTAGAGAAGGATTATTTAGATTTGGAAGAAATTTTCATTTGGAAAAGTTTATTAAAATGGGGTCTTGCCCAAAATCCTTCTATTTCAAAAGATATCACAAAATGGAACAAGGAGGATATTACAATTATAGAGAAAACTCTTCATGGATTAATTCCATTAGTAAGATATTATCATATCTCTTCAGATGATTTTCTTGATAAAATATATCCTTTAAAAAAATTATTACCAAAAGATTTAACTAAAGATCTGGTGGAATTTTATATTGCACCGAATAGGAAACCAAATATTGTCGAAATTCAGTCTACTAGAATACCAAAACATATTTGTGATTATGATTCAATTTTAATTAAAAAACATCATTTTGCTGTTTTTGCTAGTTGGATTGATAAGAAAAATAATTTACATTATTATGTGAATATTCCTTATAATTTTAATTTACTTTATCGTGCTAGTAGAGATGGTAATACACCCGCAGCATTTCATGCTAAATGTGATAACAAGGGGCCCACCATAGTCATAGTAAAAATCTCAAATTCAAAAAAAATAGTTGGAGGGTATAATCCACTTAAATGGAATTCAAGTAATAAAGTTGAATCTACAAAAGATAGTTATATATACTTATTTACTGATGGGACAGATACAAAAAGTGCAAAAGTAAGTTACAGTAATGGGGATCAAAATTCTATAAGAAATTTAGCTGCATATGGACCGGGATTTGGTGGAGGTACAGACTTATTATGTTGGTCAAACGGAAGCTGGTTACGTAATTCAGCGTTGTCTTATCCTAAAATTGATAGTATTCCAGAAAAATTCTTCAATGTAGATGATTACGAAGTTTATCAAGTAATTAAGAAATAATGAATTCATATTTACGTAATGTAGGTTAATAGAATTCTTTTAAATATATTGATTCATTTGGATATTAAATAACTCATTATACTTCAAATAAAATAAATACTTGCTATCTTTTAGTTTTAAAAAATATATTAAATAAAAATTAAGCCAATTTGACGATAGATATTAATATATATACTTACAATCTTTCTTTATTAATTACTACGTCAGTATTGGATAGATCTTCCAGTTTCTAATAATAAAGCATCCAGATAATGTAATGGAATATTCATTCAAATATGATGAACTGCAAATTCAATTTTTTTTATAAATAATAACAGGAAATATAATACAAAATTTAACGTGAGAAAGTTCGAGAAAATTAAAAGGCTAACCTTTATATAGTTAGCAATTGAACATTTCATAATTTTTATATTAATCGTTAAAAAGACCAATTTAGTTAAAATAATCTCATAAAAAATGATGTGTAAATAATTTACGTTAGATTACAATACAATCAGACTCTTATTTAATAGCTAAAATTTTAGAATTATCATATACAGTTTTTTAAAATCACTAATGCGAAATCTACTACTTGCGCCTAATTATTACAATTCTTTATTGCACCTTTTATTAAATAAAGTAAAATTGCGGTTGTATCTTTAAATTTACTTTCAATTTTATACAGATAATCAGATAATATACCGAATATTAATAATTTTTATTGGCAAATAATGAATTCTAAAATTAAAATAGATAATAGATGAAATTTAAAAAGTGAGCTTTTATACAGATATTAATATCTTTCTTTACAAAATGAATACTATTATTTTTTTCAGACACGATGTAACGACTAAATGACCTCACAATATATACGATAAATCATAAAATGGTAAAAATATAAATTATTTAATCTCAATTTATTGCAAATATGTATTAAGAAAAACCTTTATCTTATCTTCTATTCTCATTCTAGGGATTTGAATCGATTAATCGAAAATCGAAAAACATAATAAAATCGATTCTCGAGAATCGATTCTCAACAATTTTTTACATATAAGTTAACCTGACTCCAAAGTAATTTTCATGCCGGCCAAGTGCTGATTATTTTTGCTGAAATTAGAAACTGATTCAAAGTCAGGTTGGTCGTCTATAAGAAAAATCTTGGAAAGATTCGATTTTCGATTCCATTCCCTATCTCATTCTCTTTTTTAACTTTCTTCTCCTCTATTCAATTAAACTCAATATTTTAAATCATTCCACAATCAATCAGCCCTTACAGTACCACCTGTACAAATAGCATCATGGTGCCAACAAATGTAATAAAAACAAGAAAAGACTCCTTACCTGAGGATCCTACCTAATAATATTTTTTGTGGCGCAGAAATGTTGATTAAAATAACTACCCCCGCGGCAGTGCGGCACCGACAAAAATTTCGCGATAGGGCCGGCATTACGGCATTATGCACGAACACGTGAAATAATCAGTGACGAATAAGGGTGACAAATAATATTTTACCTACTTAAAAAAAAACGAGTCCCTCAGATAAATATAAACAGTGGAAACCTGGTGAGGTGTGCTGCTTGTGATGATTAAAAAGTATGTGCAAAATTTTTGTCGGTGCCACTGGGCTAGTTGATTAAAATTTTAGTACGTGTTCGACCTAAAAATAAATCCAAAAATTTTATACAAGGCCCGACTGAAAATGCAACCGACCCTATAAAAAAAAAGCTCCGATAAATGATCATTTTTCTAGTTTTTATAGAAACTGGAAATTATCAATTCACAATTTCAACAAATGTGAAATTATAGGTGTCATCATTGCAAAGTAGATTGGAAGTCATTATTTGTGAAATATTAACTTTTAATGTATTAACAATATTTATGGATTCATAAAATATTATTATTTTTATTGTAAATTATAACAGAAAAATTTTTAATTTGCATTAAGACAATTCAATGAATACAATCAAGAATTATGGATATTAGCATTAGATATGTCAAAGACTTATGATTGAGTAAACATTAATATGTTAGAAAAGCCTTATGTCACATCCATATTATCCCTAATAATTTGGAAATTATATATCTTTATATTAATATTTTATATGATTATCAATTTTATTTTTTTCAAGAATTGAATTTCTAAGTGTAAAGTAGTCAAGGAATTAGAAAATTTATATAATACAACAAAGTTAAATTAAAAATTAATAAAAGACAATAATATCAAAAATATTTAGATATAAGATATTAGGGATAATATGTATTTCAGAAGGAATATATTAGATTTCCATAATGTTAGATAGTACATTTCCTTGTAATAATGTTATATATAGGGAGGATAGTTGTATAGAGGTAGGTGTGCACGTGGAGGTGATGAACAAGGCTGGTTTGGACTAGGAGGAGGGTGGCAACGCTACATAGGAAGTTTATTAGTCTTTAGTTTACTACTGATAGTTAATTAATTCCATTATAAGTGGCCGACTTCAACGTACTTTGTGTAATATAGGTTTAATATTTTTTCTTTGAAATTGTATTATTTCTATATCTTTGTCAAATAAAAAAAAAATCTGTGGCAATTTACAAGCAAGAAAAGTATCATGGCAATTTTTTAAAAAGAAATACCTAAATCATTCTTACTCCTAAGGCAATTGTCAAGTCTTCATCACCAAGATGAATATTGCCAGCAGCGCCTCTTACTCACATTTAGTTAATATATAATAAAATTTATTTTTTCAAATATTTTTTTATTATTATTTTTTATTTATATTATCGATACAATGTTAATAAGAAATTCAAAAATATAAAAGTAGAGAATATTTCTTCTAAAATTATAAAAATTGAATCAATTATAGAAAAAAAAATCCACCAATATGAATTTACAAATATCTTAACTTTGAAAATTTCTTGATAACTCCTAATTCAATATATTTTTCAATTATTTTCATATTTTTATTACATTTATCTAAGCTTCTACAACCATCATCAGAAACGATCACTAATGAAAGTGATTTTTGTGGTATGCGATTTTTCCAATTTATAAGAAATGTTTCCAATTCTTTTGAAAGTAATTTAGATTGTATATCAAATTGAAAATATAATATTAATTCAACAATATTTTGTGAATATTTCAAAACTGCCTCCAATGCTTCCTTTTCATCAAAATATTCACTTCCACACCAAATACTAATACTTTCTAAATATTGACAACTATTAAAAACTATTTTTAATGTTTCCAATTCATTATACTTAAATCCCGTAGAAAGTTTTTTGAGGTTTGAACAATACTTAGCGATAGCTAAATTTAATGAATCATCGCTTTCGCATGAAATATCAAATAAGTTTAATTCTTTTAAATTTTTCCCATTGTTTTCTAAGAATTTAATTAAGTGCTCATATCTTGGAAATCCATATCTAATTTTAAAAGATCGTAACTGTGGGAAAATAACATATTGTAAATATTCAAACTTTTGAAAAACATCCTCATCATAATTAGATGATAATTCAAGTTCTTGTAAATTTGAGAATCTAGCAATTAACGATAATGAAATATAATTGAACATATGAAGTTTTAATTTGGGTAAAGAATCAGGAAGATTTTTAATTAACAAAGGAATTAATTTCTTCTCGTTATAATCCAGATGTTCCAAATAATAATATAATTCAAAATATTTTAAATTTCTTTGAACAGAAATCAAATCAGTCAATCCATTTGAAATACTACTCTTAGGTTTTATAGTAAGTGATTGTATATTATGACATATTTGAGATAGATGACAAAAAAATTCAGGGGAAAGATTTGAACTACAAATTAATTCTGAGAGATTTTTAAAATAATCTTTTGAATTAGGATAAACGTTATAATTTACATTTGACATTTGAACATAATCTAAACTTTTTAAAGAGGTTTGATTCATCAACATTTTAAAAATTTCTTGTACCACTATACGTGTATTTTTTTTAATTTTATAACGTGAAAGAGAATGTTGATTTTTAAAAAGCTCCATAATTTTTTCATGTACTTGGTTAACTGATAAAATTTTACAAAATGTTGCATAATTGAAAGTCGGAAATTCTAAAGTTGGGGTTGAAATAATAATTTTTTGTTTATTTAAAATATTTTTGGACTCGCTCGGAAGACAAGCAATTAAAGTACTAAAATTTGAAGTACTATAATCATTAACATTTCTCCATAAAATTCTAATTGAAATTTGGCACCAAAGGCGATTAATTAGTATACATGAATTCAAAGTAATTTTATCATCCTCCAAATATTTAAAAATTTCGTTTAAACAGTCAGCAGGAAGACTAGACATTTTTTTTTAAAAAAAAAAAAAACGAAAAAGGGGTGACAAAATGAAAAAAAAAATAAAATAAAAAAGTGTGCCGAGTCCGTTACTTTATCTTATTATGTAAGACCTGTACTACAAACGTAAAAGTGGACCTCCTAGAAAAGGGGTACAAAACTGGTACATATTGACAAAGAAGTCATGTACTTACACGTGATAGTGTTTACATTATTTTATGGGTGTAACATGATTGTATTTTAAGGAAAACATTAAGGGCATAATTTATAATTGCATCATTTGATATCACTTTATTCATGACGACTTTGTTTGACCGACATATCAGAATATTGAATATCAAAAGTTTAATTGCAAATAATATAAAAAGTTTGTTGATAAATACAATTCCTCTATGTAAAGCATGATCTGCAATAGTCATTGGTTCGTGACAATAGCCAATATATTCATAAATATAGTGATAGTGTGATCGTCAAATTAATTAAAGATGATCCCACAATTAAAGTTAGACGCATTTCACGGGCTTTCGTGCTTCCAGGCTAATTAAATAACATAATTATATATTTATAAGGACTGAGGAATATCAGATTATTTATTTGTACATATTAATAAATTATTAACACTAATAATATACTTTCTCTCTTATGACATTTCCATAAATTGTCGTCAAATTATTTTGAATGCCATAAAGAATTCCTTTTTTATGATATTCATTCGTACTTCTTTATCTAATGTTCGGGTATATGGACATAAATAGGAATTACCAACAAAACATTGTATATCAATTGGTGATATTCATTGTTTTTAAATGTGGTTTCTTGACCTAATTAAAAGTTTGGTTAGCCGCTCACATGATATTCATATTCGGTCTAATAACACCATCCGAATTTGGGATTTAAAATAAACAAAATATGGAAAATTCTTTCAAATATGATACTAATTTGCGTCATTCAACTCATTAATTTTTTTATAAAATTTTTTGAAAATAGCCTCGCTCTCTGAAAACAAACTATAACAGAAAATCACTAAAACCATGATTACAACCAAAATTTTTAAAGCATACTTTCCTATTTTCTTTCTTTTCGTTTTTCTTTTTTACCATGTTGATGCAGTATGTGAGAAGATCACTAATAATGTAAGGAGGACAGACATTAATTGGAATTTCGATGATAATTTCTACGCATTGAGAGGTGGAAATATAACTTTGACTCTTACCGAGTAAGTAAAAGATCAAGTGAACAAAATGATTTGTTTCTCATGATAATTTTGTAATCACGAATTTTGTTCCACTCGGTAACCCAGATAACAAATTATATTCAGAAATCAGCACTTTTTTAAAAATTTTATTGCTGGGTCAAATTTATTATGAGAAAGTAATATCCATTTCTTGAATTTCTTATCTTCTAATATTGATATAACCTTTTATTTATAGTATGCCTTGTGGTGCTTCAACTCTTTTCATTCAAGTGGTATCCCAAAGTGGGAAAGGTAGCTATACCGTACGCACTTTTACAAATAAAGATCTGGGCGTTTTAAGATATATCGGTGTTGATGTTATTGTTATAAAGGAACCTCTATTTCGTATACAAGCTAGGGTTGATGATCTCGTAAACATTAATTGTCCTGAACCGTATTTTAGTGGAGAACTTTGCTATGCTAAATATGTCGATACTCCTGAATGTAAAAAAGAAAAAGATATAGAAATTGGTGTGCCAATTGCAACCTCTATCTTTGGGGCAATAGGAGGTATATTAGTAATAAAAATTAAACAACATTTTAATAATAGGAATAAAATTTATCCAGAGAAATAAATTCATTTACAATATTTCACGGAGTTGAGCAAGTTGAGCTAATTTGCCATTATACATGTATCTATAACTATTAATAAAGATATATCATAAGAATGTTAGAATAATAATTAAGGAAAGGGAAACAAATAAATTGGAAAATTACCCAAATTACACTTTGGAATTCCTGAAATTATGAGTAAATAATATCCAATGTTTCCATCATAATTTTTGTTGATTAGTATTAAAATATTGTCATAAAGGGGAAGTCCGTTCAAAATCCAGAAGCTGGCGACACAATATTTATTTCGAGATTTTGTAATTTCGGTATATTTCTAAACAATTTATTGATTTCTGCTAGATATCCTGGAAACATAATAGTTTTCTTTTATGTTATATCCTAGAAATTTCCTTATTTTTTGAACGAAGAAATATTAACTAGGATATATATTTGATATTTTTAAAAGATAATGTAAATTATAAACTCTTAGGTTTTGGATTCGCACACCGCGTTCCTTCATCAATTTTTCACACCCGCCCTTAAACTCTAATCTCATATCCGTGATCAACAACTTTGGCCAGACAAGATCATATATTTTTTAAAAGCGCGTGCAGCAAAAATAATTACAATGTAGCCTCGACTTTTAGAAACGTACAAATTGTCAATGTTTCCATCAACCTCTAATTGTTCTACCTTTCTTTTTTTCGGATTTGATATTGTTATTAGTCCAAAGTGTAACGAACTAGCGAAGATAATCATTTCTTTTTTATAAATTGGACAAAAACGCATACCACGAAAACTACTTTCTCTTGTGATCCTTGATAGTGCATTTTGTAAAAGGAGATTAGATAAAAACGACGGAAATATGAAAATTATTGAAAAATACACCAAATTAGGCGCTGGTATGAAATTGGTATTGTGTGAATTATTATAAAATTACTTATACAAATCGGAGGTGATCGAAGATGACTGTCATATTGTATACCTGTATTTTTCTTGTAAATAATTTGATTTTTGAAATTCGAAAGAAACATTCTTTTTTATTAATATATTTTAAATCTCACTTGTATCTATCAAGTAATATAAGAGCATCGTGTATACTAAATAAAAAAAGAATTAAAAAATAAAAAGTAAAAAATAAAATAAAAAAAAAATATTTTTTTGATATGAAAGAAATATTTCTTTTGTTTCATGTACCTAGTGAATCAAGCATAACTTACTTGTCTTTCCATTATACTTGATAAACTAAAAAGTTTATAAAGAAATGTTCAAAACTTTGTAAGTCAACGATTCTTTAGCGTATCCGTGCTTTAAAAGCTCACTTGCATCATCATTTGAAGAAATCAGTGGTTTGTAATCACTATATATAATGAATGTAGGTTAAAAAAGAAACGTAGTAAATAATATATTTGTTGTAAGTATTATTTTATTAAATATAGTACAATCGTTAATTTAGAATAAAACAATTATAAATAATTAATCAATGGCTATTCTAACTATATAGCCAATATTATTATCGTATTAAACTATTACCATTATAGTTAAACTCTAATTAAGCTTCCCATTAAAACTGATAAATTTTAAACTTCAATTACTCTGAATTCTTTCTCATTAATTTCTTTTTAATTTCACGAATATATTTCTAATAACTACCGCTCTTACGTAATAGACCTTTTTTTTATAACGAAGATATTCGTATTTCAAAAATAACAAGAAAACTATTTTTAAACAGTTTCCCTATAGGAAAAGTTTTAAACATTTTCAAAAAGTAAGGTGTTGCATTGCTTTTAAGTTGCCATGTATATATTTGAATTTATTATTATATGAATACTAATAAAATACATTGTAATTGAATCTTGTAGATTTCGGATTTATAATGGGAAGAATCTCACGCCGTGCCCAACAATTGAAAAAGGCTCGTGAAATACAAGCTCTAAAATTAGCAGCAAAGAAAAATGATGCAAGACATAAAATCAATAAAATTATAAGTGAGATGGATGAACCGAAACTAAAAAATGCATTAGAGTTGATAACAAACCTAAATAATTCAGAAATAACACGATTTGAAGCTTTGACAGATTCAAAATTCGAAGATGAACCTATTCACTATGAATCCAAATCTTTGTGAATATCCTCACTTGTAAAAATCGAATTTGGAATATAATAATTCATTAGCAGAAAACCGAAGGACTTTTCAACAAATATGATCTTAAAAGACTCATCAAAATAGTGAATCAAGAATTACAGCAACCAAAATTAAAAGTATTAATATATCCAATATTAGAAAGGTTCAAAAGCAAAAGAAGCGGCAACCATATCGTAGTTTCGCAGAGTGCAACGAGAGTTATAGAAGCTAGAAAAATTATTTAAATGTAAAAGAAAAGTAATTATATTGCAATTTATTTACTTATATAATAATTTGTATAAAAAATAAAAATAAAAAAAAAGTAAATAAAGTCAAAATTCGAATTAATCGATTAACATGCAGAAGTTAAAAATCTTTAATAATACGTACAATTTTATGACACTTTATACATATAAGTTTTGATTTACATAGTCTGATTAGTTGGTGTATCATTATGGGTTACGGTACATTACTACATTTCGCCGAAACCCATTTCACCAAATTCCATTTCGCCGAAGCCATTTCGCCGAAAACCATTTCACCGAATTCCATTTCGCCGATTATCACTTTTATAAAAATATTAATCGCGCAATGAAAATAAAAATTTTTTTTTTTTATTTATTTAATAAATTACATCAGGAACCTAATAGATATTCTGATTTACAAATGGCAAATGTAACCATAACCTTCTGATTCATAAAATTTTTTCTTGTTCTCAAACCAATTTTATGTCGCTCATACACTTATTTTTAAAAAATAAAGAGCAATTTCATCAAAAAATGTTAAAGTAGTTACGATAATAATAATGAAATTAATAAATTTTGTGATGATGATGTTAGTAAAGGTAATCAAATTTTCAAAAACAATAAATGAACTTAAAAATAAAAAGCTATGATATATTAATATTAAGATTCAAAAAACTACGCTCTCATACTGTAATGTCGGTCAACATTTATTTACGCGATCACACCTCGTAACCCGTTTTGACCACATCTTTTTTTAGAGATCACGCTTGTAATTTTCAACAATATTCAAATACTATTTTTTCCTCAAATATGATCAACCACTTGAGTGAAGATTTAAGATGGAAAGTTGTTTATTTATGGCTTTATAGCTACAAGCCAAAGGAAATTTCACAATATCTAATAAAAATATCTTCCAAAATCTTTTATCTATTAATTGTGTAGTGTGTACCTTATAAATGATGATATATTATCTTTTTTTATGAAAGGATCAAATTGGTTTTGTACCAATTCTAGAATTTCGTCTTCAATGTTCAAATTCTATAAACGTAAAATTTTAAAAGATTCCCACTTTTCTGACCTCACTTTTTCATTACAGGCCGTATAATAAATTGAATTCTGTAATATAATAATCATAATTACTGCTTGAATAGGTTGAATCTTCAGTAAAAGAAGCATGAGTAGGAGAACTTGGCGGAGGAGAAGTTGATAGCGGAGAAATAAATATTTGAGAAGTTGGATGTGATGAAGCTGTGTAGTAATTGTGGAATCATATGATCTAAATTCAATTCAAGTGTTTGTTTTTTTTCCTCTTTAACCTTGCAAATGTATTGTAATACTTCGTACACAAAGAAAAATGAAAATATCCATCAAAAATTAGAACAATATCCAAAATATTTATCACACTCCTTCAGTTTATTAATTTATAATTGTATAAGTTTTCCGTTGTCTTTTAAATTATAAATTCTACTATAGCAAGCATTCTCTTTTTCGCTTATTTTTGGGTTTTTCAGTTTGTGTCACATTTACACGTGTAAAAAGCAAGATTCTTGTTACAAGTCAAACAAAGTTGATATAAGTATATAAGTAACAGGTACCAGACTGGTAATTGGCTTTTGTATATTTATTCAGTAAAAAAACGTGTATTTAAACAAGTAAAAATAAATTTTATAGGTTAATTTATGTTTATCATGTGATTTGTTATCAGTTTGTGATCTTCCCCAGTAACACCATCAACATACGGCGCAGTTTGTGGCAACTGATCTATTTAAATATTTATCGCGAATTATTTAAGCTATTATTTAAGCTTTCCTTTCTTTTCGCGTCTACATTACCAATACCAAAGAATACAAATTTAAAAAAAAGTTGGCTTATTTTATTTACAATAGCTACTTGCAGGAAATATGAAACCTGTAGAATAAACCTAATATCTTGGAAATCACCAAGTAAGCAATAATACCAGTTCAACAAACTAATCTGCAACTGTTATTTGACAGCCTAATTAATGCTACCTTCTCTTCTAGAAGAGCAAAACTAGTCTGCATCAAAAATTAGTAAGGCAAAATAAGTGAACCATGCCATTAACATGGAAGGCATATTGATAGCACTCATTATTTAAAATAATTTATTTTAAATTAATGTATTTTAATAAATTGAAATTGAATAAATTTTATTGTCAAATTAATATTACATTCTATTTTAATAAAATAATTACACTAATTTATTAATTTAAAAGAATTTGTTTTACTCTTATGAATTAACATCTATAAAATTTCATTATATTCTAAAGCAATCATCTTTGGAGTGGAGTATCTTAGGGTAGGAAAGTTACTTTAGGCTGAAATACTTATCTTTGAAGATAACATTGACGTTGGAGTATCTTAGGGTTAGGGTAAGAAAAGTTGTTTTAGGCGGAAATACTTATCCTTGAAGATAACGTAGACATTGGAGTATCTTAGGGTTATGTAAGGAAGGTTAGTTTAGGCTGAAACTTTACTTTGGAGTTAGTGTTGACTTTAGGAAGTTAATTTACCAATAACTGCGTAGTGCAATTAGCCACACTTAGCCGCAGTTAAATCACATGAATCACGTGCCCGAGCTTTTTTTGATGGTTTTGATGGTTACGCTGGGGGAGTTTCAGTTTGTGATCACGTTCGTGTTCACGATATTTCGATATTTTCATACAAAGAAATAAAAAATAGGGGCGCAGACACATCACGCGTTCCCATGTTACACAATTCAAATTATTTATAGTATAGATGACGAATATAATAATTTAATAAAATAAATATATAAGAATAATAAGTTGAAATTTCATAAGTATAAAAATGTTTGTTAGTAAACACACAATAAACTATTTTTGATTTCGATTATAACTAGTTAGGAATTTCTAAATAAGGTAATTTAGAATCTTGACAATCTATTTAAAAAAATAAAAATTGTTAGTTGTAGGATTAACCAAGTTATAAAAGTAAGAGTTTAAACACATTACCTATACTATTTTCATCAAGATACGAAGAATTGATGGGGTTTGGCAAATTACTATTTGTGAATACTCTACTAGTATATATTGCATCAGGATTTATTTCATATAAAGTTGAAATATTTGGTATTTCTTTATCAGCTTCATCAAATACAACTTTAATTTCTTTTTCTTTATAACCAAATTTCTCTTTTTCCTGGTTATATTCATTATTATCACAAGCATTATACCAAAACATTAATATCTCAAATAATTCACCGGTCTTTGGTCTTTGATCAGGATTGACATCCATACATCTATTTGCCAATTTCTTATAAATTTCAGGAGTTCCCTTTCCAAATTTAGGTCTGATTCCACTACATATTTCTAATGCTAAGCTTAAATCATGTTTTCTTTCATAAAAAGGTGATTTTCCAGATGATAATTCAGTCATAATTACACCAATACTATAGATATCAGAAGATAATGTGTATGGTTTTCGATTCAAAACTTCTGGAGCAATATAAGGTAATACACCATATATTTTATCATTTGATTTTTGTTCATTTGATGGCCCTGATAATCCAAAATCTGCAATGAAAGTAGCACTACGACCCCTTAGTATATTTCCACTATGAAGATCTTTATGAGAATATCCTATATCATGTAAATTTTTAAGGTCGATAACTATTTTGGTCAATAAAAGTAATTTATCACGCCAAAACATATTATTAAAATTATTTAAAAGAATACGTCTCAAATTTCCTTGATCTATTAATTGTGTAACCATTATTAATTCTTTTGTTTGTGGATCTTTTGTTATTCCATAAAGCCTTAAAGGACTAGTGGCTGTAATATAAAATCTCCAGTGTATTTTGAGCTATTATATAAATTAAAATTTTAAAAAAATTACAATTTTAATTACTATTTATATTAAGGATTAATTTAAAAGTAATAAAAACATATGTAAAAAAAAATACCTCATTTAAATATTCAGCCGAAATATTTTGTGATTCATTTAATTTTTTCAAGGCTACTCTTATAGACCCGGTTTCTCTTCTTTTCCAACTTCCATCATCTTGTTTAAAATAATTTGCCTTACCATCAATCCATGTCGCAGAGTATACTTTAGAAAATCCACCTTTAGCAATTTGTTCAACACCTTCAAATCTATCATATGGTATCCATTCAAGACATTTGTTATTTTTTGCGTTATAATTTGTATACTTGATAAATTTGTCAACATCATTATTCCCGCTGGTCCATCCTTCAATCATACAACGAGGAACACATTCTTTACACCACGGACAACATTTCTTATGATCGATATAGACTAGACTCATTATTATATTTTACATTTAAAAATATTTTATTTAATATTCGTGAATTGTAAAAAGGGAATTTCACGTTTGCTAAAAAAAAAAAATTGGCGTATTTATTTATATATCTTATGACAATGAGGGTAAAAAGGTATTGTTAATTTGACGACTTGACGACCAAAATAATAATACGATTTTCCGGTGCAACTCTTAAAAAAAATTATAATCTAGGATATGATTATTATAGTAAAATATTTTTTTTTTAAAAAAAAAAAACTAAGATTGCTAATAGAATTATATTATGGTGCAATTATATATAAACTAAATATTTTGAAATTTCGAAATAGAAATTCTGCCTCTTTAAAGCATACTCTAAATCAATTACTTCTTCTTGAAATCGGTGATCTCTCTAATATAAAACTTTCAGTTAAATAAGAACTCTACGCCAAATTTTTCATTTCCAACCTTTTATACGTTCTCTTTATACTGGATTATCGGTAATTGGATAAATATAACAGATGTACAGTATCATTAAATTTCACGACTTGAATAAAAAAGTTATATTACAGATAATTTTAATTATCAAATCAAAGTACTTTATTTTATTAAAAGTTTTTCTTCAAATATTTTTATTACATCAAAAGTCATATAATATTTAAGTGAAGATATAATGAGCGTAGCAGCAAAGTCAAACCTATATCAAAAAAATTAAACTATAATAAAATTAACTTTTTTATTATTTATATATAATAGCTTAAATCTCAAAATAGGTTACATCTTAAAACTAATGCATTATAATAAATTAGAAAGTAACCATACAGACGAGTTTTTCTTGTAATAAAATTTCTATATTTGTAGGTGTAGAAATAGAATAATATTCTTACTAATAAGTATTGTGTATTTATAATATTACATTCCATCACGAACACTGATTATAAATCGTGGTACAACAATCAATTAAATCAATTACAAAACAGACAAATATTTATCTTACACATAATTTGGAACAATTGTAGTATGTAAAAAGTGAGTAACGTAGATTGACTAAATAAGTAACATGTTTTGCTAGTGTTACTCACTATTATATAAAGTACGTAACGTAAAGTGACTCTCCCTATATACTATATATGTTACAGAATGTGAAAGGTATTAAAAAATTTGTGCGACAAAAATGGTCACTTACACGTCTCTAAGGATTTATTTTATTTATATGAAAGCTTGCATTAGGCCTAACCTTTCCTATTTTTTCGATTTTAACTCAGAGAGAGATTCTAGTTTGTAATGAAAACTAAATATCTTTTTAATTACTTGAATATAAGTAAATTTTTACATAGAATCAAAAAACTTATTTCATAAAAGTCAAGTTAAATATTAATTTTTATGGCAAATTCAAGATTTTTTATATTATTCTTGTAAAAATTACATAATAGGTTCCATTTTAACAGCATAAAAAGAATTTTTATAACTGAATAATAAATAACCTTTTTTCAAAATAGATATATTATTATGTACACGGAGCAAAAAAAATTAGTTACACAAACTATGTCATAGTAAAAAGTCCTAATCGACATGATCAGTCACCAGTGGCTGCCAATAATTTTAACATGATTATCATTTTTATTTGTTTATTGTTTACGTTACAATTCTAAAAGAAATTTCTTTTCCCTTTTTAAAAAAATTTTAAGTTTTGTTATTACAAACTAATGCATATTAAACATTGTTTATATTAAATTAATATATTGTGAAGTTATAGGTATTGTACAATTCAATGAATATCTATAATTGTCAATTCATAGTAGGCCGATCCAACAGATAGTTTTGTTTAACATCACATGGCACAAGAAAATTAGAGGGGGAGGATTATAATAAAATTTTAAACTTGCAAAAAATTTTAAACAATCATGTGACTAATAAAGCTAATTGACCAATAATATTTAATATAAAGTGTTTGTTTAAATCCAATTTTTTGGCAAAAATGAGGGGGTGGGAAACTATTTATTGGAGCGGCCAATTAGTTTCTAGATTTCTTCTTTTTACTTTTGTATTTTATTTTCTGAATTCAGAACGTAATTTCACCACTTTGGTTGAATGAAATCGACTATTTTTATTAATTGAAAATTGTTCATCAAGTTAAAATATATTAATATACGAATTTTCATTATATTTCTTATATTTCAATTTTTGTACTTTTTGAAAAACATTTTGTTCATGTGATCTATACATTATGTCATACGTTCTGCGCCTCATATAAAGGAAGTGACGTAAAGTAAAAAAAAATAATTTTACATTACATGCCTTAAATAAAGATTGCATAATTTAGCTACCTTACGTTACCACGTTGCGGCGTTGCGCACTTTGCCAATCACTTACTACCTACCGGAACAAATATGTACACATTGCCGCGTACTTAATATTTTTTAAAGAATTGGATTTATCTGTTAAAACCCTATTTGTAAATACTATAGGCGCTTTAATATTAACAGCTAAACCTTTATTATCTTCCTGACGCGTGTAGTTACTTCATTTAAACTTAGGTTTAGATCTTCAATAAAAAAAACCGAAATTATTTGGAGCTTTTACTATTTTATCCTAATATTTGGCACGTAATTTACTTTATAGTTTAGAAAGTGTTTAAAGTCATCAAATCAATAATTAATAATTTTACTTAATTATAATATAATACAAATATGTAAAGTAATCAATTGACTAAGTTACGAAATAATTTATAAGTATTTGTTACTTTAACAATTATCTTCGTAATTAATTATATTGATCATTTTTTTTTTAAATAAACACAAATTAAAAGTAATCAGGTGTTAATGATCCACAAATAAAAGTTTATTTTGCGTTTATAATATAATTATAAATGGTATCAATTATTGATACTAATATAGTATATTGCAAGGCTTCGAGTAACTACAAAGTTTTGAAAATTTTTTATTAAAATATATACTGTACATGTTACGCAAATTTATCACAAAAGCGATAGATAAACTTGAAACTGAGGGTCGAAATAAGTTCTAAAATGATGTTGTCGTTTACATTGGAAGAGAGCCAGATATTAATTTTATTCGAATTTTAAAACTTTGTGTGATCAGTCCGATTATTTTAAAGGAATACTTTCTAATAATGATATTGAAAAAATATGTAATTAAGGAGTCAAATATAAATTCTCAAGTTTTTGATGTAATTATTAAGTAATTATATTGGAGTTATATTATGATAACGTGTTATATTTATGTTTTTTAATACAGTGATTAATTTAAAATGTTCATTTATTTTAATTGAAATAGGTATTTTTCTACCGGAAAAATTAACATTACCAATAAAGGAAATAACTTTTAGTCTACAAGAACTGATCACATTTTACATCTTTAAAAATATCTGATCAAAATTTCATTAACCGGAATTGAATTAGTCACAAAAATCCGCATAATATACACAGAATAGGGCGCAGATATATCACACGTTTCATGTTGCACAATTTAAATTATTTATACAAGTGCCATGACACTCTTCGAGGCATTAGTAAATTTTCTTTAATTGTCGTTATAATGAAATATATTATGTTTATATAACTACATCAAAGGATTTCAAAAAATGGTATGTCGTTATACGATAATATGTCGTTATAATTAGATGTCATTATAACGGGAGGCACTTGTATGCTTGTATGGGAAGGACATCTACCGAATTTTTTTAGTTACATAGATGATATATATAATAATTTAATAAAATAGTCATGAATATATCTCATAAACAAAAATACAAATATATAAGAAATAATAAATTGAAATTTTGAATATCCAATATGTGTTTCAACTATGGTTAAATAAACAGTATTTTGCATAAATATTGTAAAATATATTTTATAAAACATAAGCTATGTTTAATTCTTATTATAATCAGTTAGAAACTTCTAAATCGAATAATTTAGAATCTTGGCAATCTATTAAAATAATAAAAAATTGTTAGTTGTGGTTTACTCAAATCATGAAAGTAATAATTTAAACACATTACCTTTACTATCCTCATCAAGATATGAAGTAATAATAGATGAATTGATGGGTTTTGGCAAATTACTATATGTGAATACTCTACTAGTGTATATTGCATCAGGATTTATTTCATATGAAGTTGAAATAATTGGTATATCTTTATCAGCTTTTTCAAATATGGCCTTAATTTCCTTTCCTTTATAACCAAATTCTTCTTTTTCATGATAATATTCACTACCCATACAAGAATTATACCAAAAGTTTAATATCTCCCATATTTCATTGGCTGTTGGTCTTTGATCAGGATTAGCATTCATACATCTATAAGCTAATTTCTTATAAATTTCAGGAGTCCCCTTTCCAAATTCAGGTCTGGTTCCATTACATATTTCTAATGTTAAGCTTAAATCATGTTTTCTTTTATAAAAAGGTGGCTTTCCGGATGAAAATTCTGTCATAATTACACCAAAACTATAGATATCAGAAGATAATGCGTATGGTTTTCCATTCAAAACTTCTGGAGAAATATATGGTAATACTCCACATATTTTATCATCCAACTTTTGTTCATTTGATGGCCCTGATAATCCAAAATCTGAAATATAAGTAGCACCATCACCCTTTAGTATATTGCCACTATGAAAATCTTTATGAAAATATCCTAAACTATGTAAATTTTTAAGACTTATTGCTATAACGAGCAATGTAAGTAATTTATCTCGCCAAAACATGCTATAAAAATTACTTGAAAGAACAGATCTCAAATTTCCTAGTTTTGCTAATTGTGTAATCATCATTAATTCTTTTGTTTGTGGATCTTTGGTTATTCCATAAAGCATTAAAGGAGCAGTGGCTGAACTACAAAAACTCCAGTGTACTTTGAGCTATAATATAAATTAAAATTTAAGAATTACAATTTTAATTACTATTATTAAGGATTAATTTAAGAGTATAAAAAACATACTGTGTGTAAAAAAAATATACCTCATTTAAATATTCAGCCGAAATATTTTGTGATCCATATAATCTTTTCAAAGCTACTTTTTTAGGTTTAGGTTCTCCTTTTTTCCAACTTCCATCATTTTGTCTAAAATATTCTGCCTTACCATCAATCCATGTCGCAGAGTATACTTTGGCAAATCCACCTTCACCAATTTGCTTTAAATCTTCAAACCTATCAAATGGTACCCATTCAAGAAATTTATTATTTTTTGCGTTATAATTTGTATACTTGATAAATTCGTCAACATCATTATTCCCGCTGGTCCATCCTTCAATCAAATAACGAGGAACACATTCTTTACACCATGGACTACAATTTTTATGATCGATATATACTGAATTTGAATCATTGTCAGCAATATTTAATTTACTAAATTCAGATTCTACCTAAATTTCATTATTTATACTCATTCTTATATTCTATATTTAGAAATATTTTGTTTAATATTTATGATTTGTAAAAGGGAATTTCACGTTTGCTAAAAAAAAAAATTGGCGTAATATTTATATATCTTATGTCAATAATGATAAAAAAGGTATTATTAAATTGACGATCAATGTATCACGAATAATCGGGAATATCATATGATTTTATAGTAAAGATTTTTTTTTTTAAAAAAAAAACTAATATTTACTTAAAAAAACAAGTTCAATTATAATAAACTAAATATTTTATAATTTTGTAATAGAAATTCTGTCACTTTGAAACATACCTTTTATGATATGAGTAAAACACTGTTATAAACGGTAATTTCAGTCAGCAAAAAAAAATAATAGTATCAATTAGTATACGCGACATTATAAATGTACTTTATAAAATAAATAATAATCTTAATGTAAATGAAATCAATAAATTTATACTGTCGCACTAAGTACTTATGATTACTTTTGTACTAATTTTTGAAAATTGCTAGTCTGTACAATATAATCAAACTTAATTGCTTGGATCAGTCAAAAAGAGTCTTTAGTTGAAACGTTTACGCTGCATATTATTTTTTGAGCTTTAAGGATTTTACCACACAAAAATTATTCACCATATTATCTAAAATTGCGAAAATAATCCTATTTGTATTTTATTGATTGAGACGGTAAAAATTATTCTACATTATGTTGAATTTGATTTTATCCATTAAAGCCTTTCAATATTTTTTAACTTGCACACATGAAAATGAAAAACTATTTGCAACCCTGGAATATTAATTGTACAGTATAATGTAGTTCTAGTAGCAAAACAAGTATCTAATGATACACCAACAATTTCCACTTATAATTTATTACCAATCGTTAAAAAGCTGTTAGAGAATTGAAACTTCTGATTGTAAATGCCCAAATATTAGCTATTTTTTTTGAACATAAGAAATTATTATTATTTTTGAATGTTTATTAACAGAGCTATACTTGCCACCCATATTAAATGGGATGGGAGAATCCCCTATCCCATCCCATCCCATATCCCATCCCTTTTGCCAAAATCCCCTCCCATTTGCCAAAATCCCATCCCAATCCCAAATCCCAATCCC